ATCATACTTAAACTTGATGCACTCTGTATCAGTGGTGGGTTTCAAAATTTTTTACTACCAGTTCTGTGGGTGTGGCTTGGTGGGCGTGGCATGGCTTGGTGGGCGCGGCTTGGTGGGCATGGCAGGGGAAGGATACTGTAAAATCTCCATTCCCACCCCACTCCAGAGAAAGGATACTGTAAAATCTCCATTCCCTCCCCAATCCAGGGGAAGGTTATTGCAAAATCCCCATTTCCTCCCAATCAGCTGGGACTTGAAAGGCAGAGAATAGATGGGGGCGGGGCCAGTCAATATTTTTACTACCGGTTCTCCGAACTACTCAAAATTTCCATTACTGGTTCTCCAGAACTGGTCAGAACTTGCTGCAACCCACTTCTGCTCTGTATGCACAAAAGAAATATTCTGAACTTCTTTCTTCTGTTATGTAAAACTCAACAAAGACTGCAGAAGGTATCTACAGAGAAACACACCATGCCACCATGCTCTATTCTATAGAGAATTAGTACCATCTGGTTTTATAGAAAAAGGAAGGAAAACATCTAAAGTTTTATTTGCATTTTAACAAGCTCCTAACTTATTTCTGGAACTGTGCCACAGACAAAACTTTTAGAAATGTTAAGCCGAGCATCATCTCAGCAGAGGACAGTGCATGAAGGTTAGTGATGGCATTTCTAGGAACTATCATTTGGAATGAACAAAGAATTTATGAGAGTATGGAAGGGATGAGTCACTGACAACAAAACAACTCCATGTTGTGGAGTTTTATGATGTTTCAATGAAAGAGCAAAACATACTCTATCATTTCTCCACTATCTTCTGAAACAAACAGAGGAAAACTGCTAGCCTTCATACTTGCTCTAAGCCAGTGATGGTGAAGCTTTTAGACACCGAGTGCTCAAACTGCACTCGCACATGACCAAACTGAAAGGTGTGTGCACGTGTATGTGTGAATGCGGACATGCGCAGACATGCGCAGCAGAGACCTGAAGACCAGCTGGCTGGAGGGAGGCGGGGCATCCCAACACCGGCAGCACAGCAAGAGGTAAGATCTTTTTCTTTCGTGAGCTTCTGTTTCGTCGTTTGCAGGGAAACAGAAGCTCACAAAAGAAACGCCATGGAGATCTGACTTGGGGCGACGGTGCATGTGCCAGCAGAGAGGGCTCTGTGTGCCACCTCTGGCACGCGTGCCATAAGTTCCCCATCACGGCTCTAAGCTTTTCAAATGCCAATCCCTGTTGATGTACAATGACTTGGATGAGATTAATCTTTGGGCTGATAGAACAGAACTGTTCTTATCATGGTAACCATTTTGCTTTCCCTCTCCTCCCATCTCCAGAAACATTCCCCAAAAAGAACGAAAAGGGAAACAAATCTAGATAAATTTCAGTTTTGTAATCTAAAAGCACAGATTCCCATTTTGAAATGATCTCTAATTTAAGTAATCTCTCTCTCTCACTCACTCACTCACTCTCCCTCCCTCCCTCCCTCCTTCTCTCTCTCTCTCATCGATGCAATAGCAATAGGAACAAGGCAGAGGTGGGTTTCAGCAGGTTCTGACCAGTTCTGGAGAACCAGTAGTGGAAATTTTGAGTAGTTCGGAGAACCAGTGGTAAAAATTTTGACTGGCCCCGCCCCATCTTTTCTCTGCCTCCCAAGTCCCAGCTGATTGGGAGGAAATGGGGATTTTGCAGTAACCTTCCCCCGGATTGGGGAGGGAATGGAGATTTTACAGTATCCTTCCCCTGCCACGTCCACCAAGCCATGCCCACCAAGCCACATCCACAGAACCGGTAGTAAAAATTTTTGAAACCCACCATTGGAACAAGGTGAGGAATAAGTCTTGGAGAGCACAGAATTGCTAGGCTATTCCCCCCATCCCCCAAAGTTGCTTAGCCACTGAGAATATATATTAGGAGTCTGAAAAGTCTTCTACATTTTCTTAAATCTTTTATGCTAGCGAATGAGATGATTGTATTTGTAGCTTCCCCTACTGCTCTATTTCAGTTGATCCGAATTTGGAATGCATTCTGAATGTGCTGTGCAAATTTAATGAGTTTTTAATTGTTTTGATACTGTTAGTCATTTGAACTGAAAATGAATTTAATAATGAATTTAAAGATACATCTCACAGTTGTGTGATCTGGAGGTGGCCAACTTAAGCTAAACCTTTGCAAAACTAGTTATGATGAACAGCTGACCCTTAATGAATGGAAGACTATGAGGTTCTCCGTTACTGTTATCCTTGTGGATATTAGGTGCATTTTAAAGTCTCCACTGCTGAAATTCCAGGTTTCAGTGGAGATTAATATAGTTTTGGATTGTGAACCTAAGAAGGTATATGAAAGATATATTTAAAAATGCAAGGCATAGAAATCATGAAGATAATGTAATTTTTCCTTGTTTACTGGTATTGATGATTTATGTTGCTTGTATTTTGATATGTTGTTAGCTGCCTAGAGCAGGGATGGGCAAATGTGGCCCTTTTACAACCTGTGGACTTCAACTCCCAGAATTCCTGAGACAGCTTACCCCTGGCCTACAGTCAACGTGGTCAGATGGCTGGCTATATAAACTGATTGACTGAATGAATATTTTTTTCTCCAACTTTCACAATAGTAGTACTTTGAGATCATGGAAATACAAGAAAATTCAGGACAAGCAGAAGAAAATACTTTTTTTTTACATAATGTCTATTGAACAGGAACTTTGCTCTAAACAGTTCTAGTAAATTTATACACTAGTTACGGAGAATTGCTTCCTCTTCCTCTTTGTTTTGTCTAATTAAATTTGTACAATGCACATGAACTAAAGCATCAATACCTTTGTTTCTTAAGCAGAAAAGTTTTTTTAAATTTCTAACTGACTCAGAAAGTACTGACTTAGATATAGATAACCAAGTATAACCAAGGTGGCGCAGTGGTTAGAATGCAGTACTGCAGGCTACTTCTGCTGACTGCCGGCTGCCTGCAATTTGGCAGTTTGAATCTCACCAGGCTCAAGGTTGACTCAGCCTTCCATCCTTCCATGGGTAAAATGAGGACCCAGATTGTTGGGAGAAATATGCTGACTCTGTAAATTTAGAGAGGGCTGTATAAAGCATTGTAAAGCGGTATATAAGTCAAAGTGTTATTGCTATTGCTATACATTTTCTACTTAGGGGGAAAATTTAATGAGAAGTCCTCCTAAAATTCCTCCACTGCCCAACTCATCTTACTGTACCTCTTTCTGTTCATTGTCTCTATAAAGCCAATCCCTGAAACTGGCTTCCTTAGATTCTTTCCACAATCTCTATAGCAGTCCCTGCTTGTTCAGAACATATAGCTAAGCATATCAATCCCTCAGACCATATAGCTTTTCTTATAACTTGACTCCCCTCCTGCTCTCTACATCTTTCTGTTGAACTTTTGTCCAGACTCTTATTAGTTCTCCTTACCTGCTCACTCATTAATGAGCTCCAACTGTTACTCCACCGCTCCACATTTCTATTTCCTCTAACACATTAATCATATAACATTTTGTGCAATTCTTTAGGTTGTTTTTAGACCTCCCTTCAATCCTTTTTCTCAATTAATGCTTACTTCTGTGAGACTGCGGGTTCTTTCAACCATGTATAGATGCGTAAGCTAAGGCAGTCAGACTCTTAGAAATAGAAGAAATGATACCATTTACACAGAGTTGTATGTCTTCCACAAATTGGTTTGATCCCGTTTTAAAGTGAGCAATTATCATGGTTTTTATTACACGTAGTTTACACTTAAATTTATTTATTTGGCTAATAATTAAAACTATGAGGAAAACTTGGTTTAACAGTCTTTCCACATCTTGCATAATTTTATGTTTCTCTTGAGGCAGTTTACTCAGAGGAGTGGGTAGAAAATGTGTAGCTAAGTCATGATATAATTTCAATTACTATACTGTCAAATTATACTCGGCATACTAAAACATGTATATAGTAATCAATCATAACATTCTCAACAAAACCATTGCGTCTGCTGCAGTGACCTTAGCCTTACATCTTCCCTTACGTTCAAAATATAGTAGTCCTCACCGTAACTCTTTAAATTATAATACCCTGTTTCAGTGGTGGGTTTCAATTTTTTTTACTACCGGTTCTGTGGGTGTGGCTTGGTGGGCATGGCTTGGTGGGCGTGGCAGGGGAAGGATACTGTAAAATCTCCATTCCCATCCCACTCCGGGGAAAGGATACTGCAAAATCCCCATTTCCTCCCAATCAGCTGGGACTTGGGAGGCAGGGAATAGATGGGGCGGCGCCAGTCAGAATTTTTACTACCGGTTCTCCGAACTACTCAAAATTTCCACTACTGGTTCTCCAGAACTGGTCAGAACTTGCTGAAACCCACCTCTGCCCTATTTCTCCTAAAATAAGACATCCCCTGATAATAAGCCCAATCGGGCTTTTGAACCTATGGCAATAAGGCCAAGCACTTATTTCAGGGTTAAAAAAAATATAAGACAGGGTCTTATTTTCGGGGAAACACGGAGTAAGGCCATCCCATGTTGTTATCAAATGCTACATTTGATTTAATTTTTGCTTTTTAATCATTTCTATGTAACAATTGTGATAGTAACCAAAATCATAATAACTAACTAAGATTACACACCAACCCATCTTTTAAAAAGCTGTATTATTTTGAGAATGATGGAAAGCAGTTTAAGTCTTACTAAAAGCCCTAACTAAATTTAAAAGGGCCTGGAAGTTGAAGACAGACAGATAAATAATCTACATAAATAATTTCTTTCAGCATAGCACCGTACATGAATACAATTACTGTGCTTTGTTAACCCAACTTTAGAATTGTATATTATGAACTCAGCCATAAAACCACTCGCTTGGGCAATGTTCACTGTGCAAGTCTTTAAAAATTGAATTAGTCTCACCTTCTCCAATTCATGAATTCTAGCAAATTTTAGTTCTCAGCGTATCATATTATATTGCATGCAAAGTGCTGCATTTATTTGTTGATTGATCGTATTTACAGAGCTGCTCATCTCACTGAAAGCAATTCTGGATAGCAACCTGGAAGTGCCTTGGTAAGTGCTTCCGACACGAATGTAGTAGCAATAGTAGTGTCAGCGTTCCAGGAAAACCCCAACTCCAAGTAAAGACGCGGAAGCAAGCATTTTCCAAAGTTTTCTTACTAGAATAGGCAAACTGGCACATCTGGGAAAACCCGAACCATCCCCTCACTCCCCAGTCAATCACATGCTCCAATCAACGTCCATTCCATCTCGACCCAGCCCCCTGACCACTCCTTCTCCAGATGCTGGATTGCTCTGACCTTGACTGACAGGAAGAATGCTATTATGTCTACTAACAACCCCTCTCCTTAATCCCCCCTCCTACTTTCCCACACATGAGAAGGTGGCAGCATTGAAGCTTCTGGCCTAATATGGCTTCCAAAGCTGACAAGTAGTAGCATACAACAAGCAAATAAAATCACAGGTACAAAAACAATCACTATAAAAATATTAAAACATTATTAAAAAGGAAAGTATTATTAAAACATTTAAAATACACAAACTACACACAGAAAGCAAAAGATTAATCGCAGTGGAGCCATCTAAGAATATAGCTAACAAAATTGCTTAGTGGAAGTTGTTCCATGCTGTACACTGTTTTAAAACCTTAAGACTTTTAGTATTGCTTCTGCCACTAAGACTAGGTATAAGAAACATATATTAAAATAGTATTTGTTTCTGTAGCAGTGCCAGGGTTCAAGCATTTGGCAGAAATAAAGCAGAAATCACATTCCAGAGGATTAGTTTTATTTTATTAAGACAACCCAAAATACTGCCGGTTGAAATTTTTGGCTGCAACTGTCTCTTCCGTGTTTAATTCTGTCTCCAATCAGAAAAAAAAAAATGGTGGGTAGTTTTTACATTGTCACGCTCTTCAAATGTACCAATTAGTGGATATCAACAGGAGCAATTACTTGTACTAAACAGAATGGTACCCAGGAAATGCATTCATTCTATGCCACTAATGCTCTGTTGTAGCAGAAGCAGGATAGTATTCATTTCCAATGTAGCTGCTAGCAAGCCTCAGCTTCCCTATTTGCACTATGGAAAATATAATAAACAGGATTGTTAAAACAATAATTAATACTAAAATGAGCACCAAACGTTTGGACTCTCAGATACTACTCAGAGCCAGTCCTTGGAATTTTCTGGCCCTATTGTCTCTGCCTGTTCTTTTACTTTCTTAAAGTTAATAGGAAGGGATGTGGGGAAAATGAATATTAATCTCTTTATTTTTTGTGTTCTCCAGAAAGTTATGCAGATGAAGGAGAAGCTGTGAATAGCAACTGGAATGAAGAGAAGGACTCCAAGAAAAAGATAAATTCAAGGAGATAAAGCTCCATAAAATGTAAAACAAACACATGTTATCATAATTAACTGGAACAGATGTTGTGATAAGCCAGAACTTTTTAAAACAGTGATGGCATTTTTTTTTTAACTCAGTCCGTGATGGCGAATCATGGCCAAGCTCAGCTCCGGCATGCATGCGTGCACCGACCAGCTGATTTTCGGGCCTTCTGGGCCCACCAGAAGTAGGGAAACAGGCTGTTAGCTGCCTCTGGAGGGCCTGGGGGGTCGGAAAGGCCCGTTTTTTGCTCTCCCCAGGCTCCAGAGCCTCACTAGGAGCCTGAAGAGGGCAAAAACGGCATTCCTCACCACCCCAGAGGCCCTCCAGAGGCTGGAAATGGCCCATTTGCCATGGAGGGCATCCATGGGGGTGGGGAAGGCCATTTTCACTCTCCCCAGGCTCCTAGAGAGGCTCTGGAGCCTGGGGAGAGCAAAAAACGGGCCTACCGGGCCCACTGGGCCATCACATGTCAAAAGCATGGGGAGCGTGGGGGGGTTCACGCACGCATGCGTGGGGGGTGGGGCGATATAATTATGGGTGTGGGCATGCATGCACGCACGTGACCCCCCCTGCTTCCCCCACTTTTGGCGTGCAATGGCAAAAAAGTTAGCCATCACTGCCCTAACTTGACTCAACTGGCATGTCCCCACCCTACCCTTGCCGAACAAAAGGGAAATAATTATTGATATATTCATTTGCTTTTCAAAAAAATACAGTGTAATCATGTCTGTGATATCAAGGATCTGTTGTGTGCCATTTACCTTTAGGCAGTGTTCCCTTTCTCTTGACAGGCCCTGCAGCCTACCTAAGGCAGCTCCGGGTTGCATGATGCTTTTGTTCTTGAAACAACTTCAGAGAATGCTCTTCTGCCTCCAAAACCACATCCCATTCTTGCATGATTTTTGAAAGCTGCAAAAGTTGTGGGAGGGTGCAACCATATTCTTGTGTGGCCTCCACACCCTCCAAAAATCAAAGAAGGGGGTCTGCTATCGAGAATAATTGTCAGGTGTTGGTGAATGCTGGCATATTACCCAAAAATTGTGGTGTGTCACCTTTGACGCCGTGTCATAGGTTTGCCATCACTGCTTTAAAATTAGGAAATAGAATCTTCTGTTTGTTCCTCTCTCGATAAACTTGTGACAGAATATGTTGTTAGTTCATGATTCTGGTTTGGTACGAGAGATATAAATTAGAGATTGCAGGTCAGATGCAGTACTAAGTAAACCAAAAACGGAAACTTCCTATTAATGTAAGAAAGCAGGCAGAAAGGATTGGACAACCTGTGTTGGCATGTACCAAAGATGTTTTTTCAGGAGGCAACTGGACTTTCTTGTTTTTTCTTTGAAGACATTTCGCTTCTCATCCAAGAAGCTTCTTCAGCTCTGACTGGATGGTGGGGAATGGAAGGATTTATATTCCTTGCAGACAGCTGGTCATTTGCATCCTTTTTGAGGGTCACTGCGTTCTGAAAAAGCACTTTTGGGACAATCATGACCTGGATGACTGAGAATCTATAGAGACTTTTAGCTATGCAATTTGGGATGAACACCCTTGAATGGTGTGGGAGTATGAATGGATTTCCAGAAAAAAATTGCAGTAGCACCACTCAGGTGACCTTGAGGAAACAGATAAACCTCCAAGTGCTTCAACGATCCTCAAAAAGGCTGCAAATGACCAGCTGTCTGCAAGGAATATAAATCCTTCCATTCCCCACCATCCAGCCAGAGCTGAAGAAGCTTCTTGGATGAGAAGTAAAACGTCTTCAAAGAAAAAAACAAGAAAGTCCAGTTGCCTCCTGAAAAAGCACCTTTGGGACAAACATGACCTGGATGACTGAGAATCTATAGAGGCTATGTTGGCATGCTTATTCAGTTATAATAAACCAGAATTCTAAATAGTTATGTTTTTTTATCAATATAATCACGAATTCTAAACAGTTCTGATTCGTGACATCCATATGTATCTATGGGTAGTCTTTGACTTACAACCATAACTGAGCCCAGAATTATGGTTCTAAGTGGTATCAATTGTTAAGCAGGTCACCGTTGACCATGTCCAATTTTATGGCCTTTTATGCGGTTAAATGAATCATTGTCTGCAATGGGCATTTTTTGCTTGATAGTGGAAGGAAATGCCAGTTTCCAGCAAAATGTGTCATAAATTGTGGTCATGTGACCGTGGGACACTAGAAATGGCTGGAAATGCAGATTGGTTGCTGAGCACCCAAAATGTGATGATGTATTTATGGGGAAATTTCTAATCCAGATTGTAAGCAGCTCTGTGGAGGTCCATTGTAACTTTGAATGGTCTGGTCATAAGTCGGGGACTATCTGCCTGAAAACTTGTGAATGTGAGAGCCAATGCAAAAAGCAGGTGTTATATTATTTAAGTCTCCATTTCTCATGTCAGAAGCAGAGCTTATCTATAATATGTGTTCTACTGCTAAGATAGCCAGCAAATTGAATCATACTTGCAGGATCTGCTATGACATGCAACTAGGCAGAAAGGTGATTGTGAATACAGAATAAACTCTCTCTATTAAAGCCTATCTAGAGGACAGGAACAGTAGTTTCTTGTTGAAGGGTTTAGAAATCATGAACATTGTTGGGACAGCTGGATAATTAAAATCCAGTGAGTCTCCCCATTGGATAGATTAAAGCTAGACAATGAGATGGGTGGTATCTAGTAAATAAAATAAATAATAAAGCTGATAAATTTAAAGGAAGCTACAGTATATTCAACATTCTAAACATATGTGTATTTAGCCATACATCTAACATTTCATAACTTTAAAAAACTGAATAAGATATCAGAATGATAGAATCTTCTTACTTACTTGAATATATTCAAAATGAAGACATCTATTTTCAAAATCTATATTCATCACCTGAAAACTTTCAGCAATCCACAAGGGGATAGGAGATGAAGTTTGCACAAATTTTCCCACTGTATAGAGCAGTGATGGCGAACCTTTTTGCCGTTGCATGCCAAAAGTGGGGAGAGTGCGGGGGGGGGTCACACATGTGCATGCCCACACCCATAATTCAATGAGCCCTGCCCCCCACGCACGTGACCCTCCCACGCTCCCCAAGCTTTTGGCATGCGATGGCACAGTAGGCCCAGTAGGCCCATTTTTCGCCCTCCCTAGGCTACAGAGGCTTTCTTGGAGCCTGGGGAGAGCGAAAACGGCCTTCCCCACCCCTCGGAGGCCCTCCGGAAGCTGGAAATGGCCCATTTGCCGGCTTACGATGGGACCAGAAGGCCCATTTTTTGCTCTCCCCAGGCTCCAGAGCCTTTCTAGGAGCCTGGAGAGGGTGAAAACGGCCTCCCCCCTCCCGGAGCCCTCCGTCAGCTGGAGACAGCTTGTTTCTCGACTTCTAGTGGGCCTGGAAGGCCCGAAAATCAGCTGGCCGGTGCGCACATGCGTGCCGGAGCTGAACTAAGGCAACACTCGCGTGCCCACCAATATGGCTCCACCTGCCACCTGTGGCACAAGTGCCATAGGTTCACCATCACGGGTATAGAGGCTATTTTGCCAATACCAGTAATGTTTAGTCAGTCAATCACCAGCTGTCTTGGTGCATGTTAAAAATATTTAGCATGAAATTAAACTAGATCAAGCAGTTCTAGGGCAATTTGAATTAAATAGTAATTGAGTAAAAATGATTTTATTAGGTTTATAATTGTTTTAAGAACAAGTTACAGGATATTCATGAATGTATTACTCAAAGCTATAGTTCACATTGACTCCCTGCTTCATTACTGCAATCTAACTAAAGCCCGTTTCCTGGCCTCATTGCACTGAGCATTTAAATTAAACTTAGAACTGTCTGCAATGCAAAGTAGAACTATTTCTGCACACAATTAATGTCCTAGGGATGTTTCTGTATTTTCTCACAAGGCTGATGGATTTGCTATGGCATGATTTGCTATGGCACGAACCAATAAATACAGTGGATAAATGGTTAACAATTCTCTGTAGATAGTCACTATTTATTACTATTATAACAGTATTATTATCATTATAATCATCATCATTCAAAGACTAGCAGAAGGGATTTGACTAGCAGCCAAGTAAATTTCTTGGATCCAAATCCAGACTTTCTACGCTAACAGAATCTTATCTCCTTTAGTGTCATCTTGTGCTTATAAGTGACAGTGTTAAGTGCTTTACGAAAACCTCCTAAGCCTCAAGTGAACCACTCCCAGACATAAGCTAATAGTATAGAAGGAAAGAAGGTAAATACCACTCCAGAGCAAGATCTAATTGAGTGATCTCTAACCTGGCGCCTTCAGACTTAAGACATCCAGAAATATTTATCTCAAATGTTTTGGACAGCAGCAGGTTAAGAAATGCTGTTTATGTTTTCCCACATTAGAGTGAACTTGTTATTAGATACATTGTGAGTCACTTTGTATTATCAGCACAATCAAGTGGTTTTCTATACATAAACATTTGACTGTTGCATAGCTGGGAGGCAAAAATATACTCGACTTTCTCTGTGACTTGGTGCTTTGCTACGAGCAAATAATAAAATAAAACAAGTGTTTTAGTCTAAACACAGCCATTCGTTTGCATGGGAAAAAATTGTTCAGTGTAGGAAAATGCTTGATTTACCACTTCATCCCACAGACCTCACCCACTGATTCTTAGAATATTCTACAAGGCATTTAAACAGCCTTCTGCCAAATTTGTTCATTCTAAAAGCCATCCATTAAATAGAGCTGAGGTGGCTGCAGTGGTTAGAGTGCAGTACTGCAGCTACTTCAGCTGACTGCTAGTTCAGCAGATCAGTGGATCAAATCTCACCGGCTCAAGGTTGACTCAGCCTTCCATCCTTCCGAGGTGGGTAAAATGAGGACCCAGATTGTTGGGGTCAATATGCTATTTAGTATACTGTCTTTGGTATAAGCTGCCCAGAGTCCTTGGAGAGTGGGCGGCATAGAAATATGAATAATAAAATAAAAATAAATATGAATAATAAAATAATTTATCTCCAAGAAATAGCT